AGGGTTCAAAGTTGCAACCTGTGCTGGAATAAAAGTGACACCTCCGTCCAGAGCTTTTTCAAGTCATAACCCCGTCGAAATGCCTGTTCTGGGCTCAGCCTAAAGCCTATGGGTTGGAAGAAGGCAAAGAAGTGATGGTCTATGACTGGGGAGACCCAAGCTCGAGCCCCTGCCTTGAGGCAATCTTGGCCATCCTGGATTTCTCTTATTCAGGCAGAGCAAAGGGACTGATCCTGACTCTCCAAAATCCCAGCCTATATCAATCCTGTTTTACCCTTGTCAAAAAGATCCCCACCCATGTGCTTGGCTAAATGTGTACAAACCTCCCCAGCATGTCCCTGCCACAACTTCTTTGGATAATGCCGGCTACGACCCCTCTCCCAACAGGCAGCTCCACTCTTTTAGGCAGCCTGACCCTCCCGGAGGCCTCTGTGCCATGTTGCATCATGTTAAAAAAACACATCCAGGCATCATGCTACAGCACGCAGGAGGGGTTAGATGAACAAGACCAAATGTTAAAGCAGATGCCTCAAACAAGCTTCCAATTTAAACTCAAAAGCAAGGATGCGCACAAGGGACTAAGACAGCTAAGGATGGTCTCCAGCAATCTGGTTTTCAAACTTGATTTAAGCCAGACTGAAATCAATGGGAGCTCGGCACTCGGGAAGTTTCCCGGCTCCAGCCGCAGCCCTGCTCCCCATCCTTGCAAATGCCGAGGTCGGCACCACTTCTGTGCCTCCATCCTGACCCTGCCGTACAGGTCCCATTCCCACTGCCCACCTTTGCTCCAAGGGTTCAAATCAAGTTGCATCAAGTTAAGCCTTTGGGCTCTTTCCTCACCGATGAATTATTCAGGGCAGAAAAGGCTGGAGTTTTGGTGGACAGTTTGTTATTTTAAGGCGGTGGGGGGGGGCGGCCAATGGAGTCATGCAATTCCCACCCACCGATACTTTATTCACCAGACATTAAAAGCACTTCGTGGACGGCTGGAACCCGACAGGAGCCGTCCAAAGGACAGCATTTCTGGGCTTCTCGGCAAATAGGAAACGGTCGCAAGCGTACAGCAGCTGAAAGGCCTAAAACCATTCCCCGTGAGGGACGTCCACGGCCAGCCACAGACCACCAGGCTCCCACCGTGCCCCTCGTCGAGCCATTCCTGCTGCCCCCCTGAATTAAGGGGCTCTGGGGGAGGCAGCAGGAGAGCAAGGAGAACGACAATTAGGGATCAGCCCCAAAGCTTGCCCAACATAAGACAGCCGGGGTTGCATGCGTGAGGCTACATACTCGCTTCATCCGAATCGTAGCTGTTGGCTTCATCCTCTTCTTCATCCTGAGGTGGCTGTTGCTGACGGGCAGGGGCGGACGGCATGGGCATGGCAGCCGCTTGTGGATACGCTGCCGGCTGGCGCGCGGTCCTCTCCTCCCTCGCCACGGCCCCCAGGTAACCGCCTCCACCTCCTCTCTCATCCCTGGGAGCAACTGCCGAGTAGCCGGGCTCGGCCTGAAGCGGACCCATCGACTGGCTCACTGCGTGGGAGGAAAGCAGCATTTGACAGAGGCCTGGAAAGCTCAGGGTGACAGAAGCCACCTCGTCATCATAATTTGCACACGACTGGCGTCCCTGAATAAAACCAGCCCCTCAAACCAATCACAAAGCCACCCGCGAAATGCCAGCGTGGGCACCCTCCACACACGTAGCCTCCCCGCAGCAATAAATGCCGGGCTGCGACCCACGGCCGAGCACGCATGCACCCCAGCATCACAGCACCGTCGGCAGCTGGAAGTCAACGGAGAAAACATCCAAAGGGAACAAAAAGCCTGGACAGTTTCTGTGCATTAGGGGAAGCCAAGGGACCTCTCGCCTCCCCAGGGCTATTCTGTTCTGCCTGATGCAGAAAGGTGTGCTGCCTTTCATCAGGCACGTTCTGGATAACCCACGGCTCAGCTTCCTCTGCCCTGTATTTAAGCCTAAGGCTGTAGGGAGACTATATTTCAATCAGGATTCCCCAATGGCTGGGAATTCATGCAAGAAGAAAGCAGGGAAGCTCAGATAGGAGAGAGCTGACCCACTTCTCCTCTCCAATCTTGGCAGGGAGGTCCTGGGGGAAGACAGCAGCACCTCGGCAATGTGAATTGCTGGAGGAAACGGGCTTGAAATACTTGTGGGCAACACTCAGGCATCCCAGCATGGCACGGCTGCCTGCGCTGGGAGGAGTGACAGGGCAGAGACGTTCACTTCCATTTGAGCTTCGGTTTTCCTCCTCCCCTTAGTGCTCTGAGGGCCAAATTCTGCACGGGTGCA